ATTTCCCTGATGATGAGTGATGCTGCACATCTTTTCAGGTACCTGTTGGCCATCTGTATGTCTTCTTTGGAAAATTTCTATTCAGATCCTCCACCCATTTTTTAACTGGATTTTTTGTTGTTGTTAGTGAGTTATAAGAGTTCTTTATACATTTTATCAAATAGATTATTTGCAAATATTTTTCCCATTCAGTAGGTTGGCTTTCCTTTTGCTGATGGTTCTTTTGCTGTGCAGAAGCTTTTTAATGACATGTTCCAGTTATTTACTTTTGTTTTTGATGTCAGATTCAGAAATTCATCACCAGGACCAAAGTCAAGGGGCTTACAGCCTATGTTTTCTTCAAGGAGATTTATGGTTTCAGGTCTTACTTTCAAGTCTTTAATTCATTTTGAGTTACTTTTTGTGTATGGTGTAAGATAGTGGTCAAGTTTCATTCTTTGCATGTGGCTGTCCAATTTTCCTAGCACCGTGTTTTGAAGAGATTGTCTTTTCCTCATTGTATATTCTTGGCTTCTCTGCCATAAATTAATTGACCATATATGTGTGGTTTATTTTGGGGCTCTTTACTCTGTTCCATTGCTCTATTTATCTGCTTTTATGCCAATACCATACTATTTTAATAACTATAGCTTTGTAATATAGTTTGAAATCAGGGAGCATGATACTTCCAGGTTTATTCTTCTTTCTCAAGATTGCTTTGGCTATTTGGTTTTTTGTTTTTTTGTAGATTCATACACATTTTAGGATTGTTTGTTCTATTTCTTAAAAAAATGCCATGGGAATTTTGATAGGGATTACACTGAATCTGTAGATTTCTTTGTGTAGTATGGACATCTTCTTCAATTTCTTTCATTAATGTCTTATAGTTTTTGATATACAGGTCTTTTACCTCCTTGGTTAAATTTATTCCTAGATATTTCATTCTTTTTGATACACTTATAAATAAGATTTTTTTCTCTTTCTGTTAGTGTACAGAAATGCAACAAATTAGGTCTAATTCTCTAGTGAGGTTTATTATATATTGAAAAGATACTACAATGAAATAAAATTATAAACACATGGTATAATAAATAACTTTTGATGTACATTTTAAAAGACTAGATAAGACCAAAGCTACTTGCAGCTGCCACATACTGTATGACAACTGGAATTTTCTTTAATTGGGGAGTGGAGGTAGGGGCAACAAAACCTGTTGAGTGGGAATTAAAGAGATACTACAAACTAACCACTTCTCTCTTAAAAGTGGGAAGAGATAAGGTTCAGAATCCTGATTCAAGGTCATACAGAGGTTTAACAAAAAATACAAGACAAAAACCATGAGTTTGGAACAAGTTCCTAAATGGGCTACCATTTACAGGCACTTTGGAGGGGTGGATAACAACCAAGTTGTAGAAAGGGCATGGCTTTGGAGCTAGAAAGTTCTGCACTAAATCCTTAATAGACTCTTAGCAGTAGCCCTGTGAGGACCTTTCCTGCCTAGCTTAGCTCAGTGTCCTTCTAAACGGTCCTTCCCACCCAGCCTCTATTCATTTGAATTCATCCTCCACAATCCTATCGCTATTACTTCCTGAAAACCAAATGTGGTCATAGAGCCCTATGCTTAAAGGTCATGCAAAAGATAAAATACTTAGCAAGGCCCTTATTCTCATAAGGCTCTTGAATCTGACTCAAACCCATTTCTTTAGCCCTGTGGGCCCCCTTCCCTCACTCACTCTGTGCTCTAACTTGATTCCAACTCTGGCATCATCTGAGGCCTTTTACAGCTCAGAATCTCTTTTGTTCCCCTGCCTGGAAGGCCCATTTTACCCTTCTTTATCTGACAAGCTCCTACTCCTCCTCGAAGGCCCAATAAAGAGTCCTCTCCATGAGGAAGTATTCCCTAACTCCTGTAGGCAGTTAGCTACTGTCCCTTGTTATCCAAAGGTCTCATATTTAAATCACATACTGTACTGCATTGAGATGATCAGTTTACTTACTCTGCCCCCTCCTCTATTCCCATGACTTCCCCTTCCTCTCACGGACACCCACAAAACTCAGACTGTGAGTATCTCTAAGGGAGGATTATCTCCAGATCCCCAGTGCCTAGTATCTACCAAGTATCCAATAAATATTTATTCAATAAAAAAGTGAATAAATGAGTGAGTGAATGAATGGCTATTTTGATGGCACCCAGAATAGCTAAAAATCTAAGAAGTTTGATGAATAGGATTTGTGACAATCAAAGGAAGAAGAAAGAGATAAAAGGATGGATGTGATTTCATAAAGTGATAAAATACATAAGTATATATTACTTAAGAGCTACAAATGCCCATGAATAATAAATACAAATATTATTTATGGGTACAAAGGTAAGTGCATTATTTACCTTAGAGGCTAGAACTACTCTTTCTAAGCCATTACTATCCTGATGGGTCAAATGTTTTTTTGGCACACACAGTAAGTTATAAAATGTGAACTATGCATCTGTCAAACAGTAACAAAGAACAGTTTAACCCAGTAAGTGGTATCAACTCCTCTGTGCCTCTATAATCCATTTATCTAAATCCTACTTAGTTGGAGGATTACAGTTCTCATATATCTAAATAGCTCTAAAGTTTAGCCAAATGGTTCATATGTATAGTAAACCACGCTGTACAAATCAGCTATCTGGTTTCACAAAAGAAAATAAAAGTTTCACATGACATCTTCCTAGAAAGAAAAGGATACAAAGGAAGGAAATTAGAATCATGCCAAACAAGCAATTAAAAAGTGTCCAAAGATAGGGTTTTTCCCCCCCCCCAAGTCCCCAAAAGAAGAACTGGCCAAAAATTCTTAAAGGAAGCAGCCAAAAGAACCACTAAAAACAGACGTGAACTCTCAGTGGAGACTTCAGAGTAACAGGGGAAAGTTTTATGGAAATATACACCAGATCCTCAAACATCTACATTAAAAAAGAACACTAGAATAGTAATTTTTTAAAAAGCGGTGGTGGTACAGGTGGCTGAATGTTCCACAAAATAATTCAAATATAAATTACGAAGAACATTCTTACCATAAGTTCTCATCAAATAAGAACAGAAATAGGAATTTAACTAATACCCCTCTGTAAAATAACTAGAATTTATTTACTGAAATAAACATATTTATTTGAAATAAATACAAATATCCCTTAGATTTGGGGAAAACTCTTGCTAATCTTTGACATAACAGTTGTTATTTATCAGTGAGGATGAGGAGTGGACAAAACAAACATTAGTATTCACTGAGGCTTAAAGAAATTAGAAATGAGAAACCTAACTGAACCAGAGTCACAGGGATATGAAACCTGCTTCCCCTGTTCTTATGATATAGAGGATATTTCTTTGTGGAAAAGTTAGATCCTGATCTCAATTCACAATGGTGTACCAAATTATATTTGTCATAATAATGCATGTTTATGACCTATGGTAGTCATAACTGAATTTCGGCTTAAATTTTCTGACAAAATCACCTACTTACCCTGAGCAGAAGAAAGAAGGCTGCCTATTGAGAGTTATTTGTAGTTTACACTTCACTGTTGCCATTATTACATTTGAACATATTGTAAATCAGTGGCAGACTGCAAACTAGCCACTAAATTAATTCTTAATTTGTTAACTCCATTAGCCAAAAGATAAGACCAACTTCTAGCATCACCTACGTAATACAAATTTATCTGAAACGTGTAAAATGATCATATCTACATGTGTAAAATAATCATATCATACAAATTTATCTGAAATGTGTAAAATAATCATATCTACATATCTAAGGAAAAAGCCCCAAAACTGCAAGTGATATCAAATGAAACATAAATTTCCAAACAACACCAATAAGTAAACGATTCCACAGGAAAGCTTATATTCAGTGATATTGGACTTCTATGTCCTTGCTGGAAATGAATGCTAGTGATTTCTATATTATCTTTACTTTACAATATTCAGGTTCTGACCTGCTGTTCCTAGAAAAAAGCAAAACTAAGAAAGCTAACATTCTTTAAATTTTTCAATATTTTATGGCTTTATCTGTTAAAATACTGAGCTTGAAATTATGTGGGCTCTGAGTAAGAGATGTATGAATCAGGAAGTAAAGTTACAAAATGCATCTTACTGTTTCTACGTTAATGGTTAGAGCATGGACTCCACCATTATGCCTGAGCTCAAATCCCACATCTGCCACTTACCAGCTCTGTGACCTTGACCAAGTTACTTAACCTCTCTGTCCTCAGTTTTCCAAACAGTAAGACAAATAGAACTAATAATAGTACCTCCCTCACAGAGTTGGAGTTAGACCAGTTAATAAATAATAATAAATAAACCAGCTGCAGGGGTCAGAAAAGGAATCTCTATGGAGGTGTCTGCTGTTGTTATTAAAATCCGTGAAAGAAGCTGAGGAAGGTGTGACACGGATTTCATTTTATCTAAAGTTTTCTTTTAAAAATATCTGAAAGAAGGGGTGCCTGGGTGGCTCAGTGGGTTAAAGCCTCTGCCTTCCACTCAGGTCATGTTCCCAGAGTTCTGGGATCGAGCCCAGGGCTCTGCTCAGCGGGGAGCCGCTTCCTCCTCTCTCTCTCTCTCTCTCTCTCTCTGCCTGCCTCTTTGCTTACTTGTGATCTCTGTCAAATAAATAAATAAAATCTTTAAAAAAAAAAAAAACACCTGAAAGAATAAAATACCTTTTTCTCCCTTCAAAACTCTCACAGCCCTAATGATCTCAACTTTTCTCGAAATTCTATGATAACTTGGATGATAAATATTTCCTAAAATGAAAAGCCACATCGATTTTCATCTCTTTCCTAATTGTGCTAACTTTAAGGGCATTCTGGAATTTGGAGCATTTGGCAAATAAATAAAATTGTAAGTTAGTCTCAGACTATAATTATTAAAATTCTCAGTTATTCTTTCTCCCATTGTCTTCAGTTTACTCTGTTGCTAAAATGGGGGTATAAAATGGGCCCTAATGCCCTCCTACAGCAGAAGTTGATGACTGAACAACAATACTACCTTTATCACTTCCATAATAATAGAACACTGTTTTACTGAGAGCACACCAGCGTTTCTGCCATTCAAATCCCAGGAAGTTGTGATCTACAATAAAGGAGGAAAAGGAACAGATAACACACATTACACATATAGCATATGTAACGTCATTTCCTTATTATAAAAGGAAAAGTTTGTTGACCTGATTTCTAAGATTTCTGCTAGCTCTAAAATTCTATGACTAATTCACTTGTATCTTCTTCTCCAAGAGACAAACAAAAACAAAGTTAAAAGGAATAAAGTGACGCAGAGATAGGACTGTTACACTTGGGGCGAACACACTTTCCTGACAGGGACTGTCCAAAGGACATGTGATGACACAGCTTTGAGACAACGGATTCATCTGAGTCTCATTTTTTCATCTGTTATAAAAGGGCCGGGGTGGGAGGGGGGGTGAGGAGTTGACCTAAACTACTTCTATTATCTCTTTCAGCTTTAAAATTCATCTAAGAAAACCAAGCAACTAAGAAATGGAATATAAACAGAAAGGCCCAAAGGGACTACTCGTGAGAAAAGCAAAATGGTAATGAAGAGGCTTCCTGCTTTCTGTTTCCCATACAGTAACACCACCTCTATATTTCATTTCCATTATATATTGGTGCTGAAAGAGTGAGGCCATATGGTCAATTCCCGATTATCACAGCCAATGGAGAGGAACACTGAATGGATAACAGAAAATGGCAGACAATATGCCAGGCTTGATCAGAACCACAGCAGACATGGCGTCCACCAGGTCAGGCGCAGGGTAACCTGCTGCTCAGCCGGAAGGGAGAACAGTGAGAAATCCCATCCTTGAGAATAGTGTCATGGCCCGCGGCCTTCCTCTAAGGGGCAGGAAGCAGCGCCTGAGTCATTCACAAATAACCAAGAATGGCAACTAAACAAACACCTGACCAAATGTTTTGTTAATCAAAAATTAGGAGCTAAAAACTATATTTTGTGGTTGGGATATTCCGATTTTATTCCGATTTTCCTACAGTTTTAAAACTCTTCAATCCCCTAAAGAACATATTGCCTCCATATGTATACTGCATACATGTTTTATATAAGGATAAAGCCATTTTTAGATTTTTCAGTAGAATCTTACAGTTTACCTTTTCTGCGTTTTTCAAGGTAGCCAGCCTTTAAAACAAAAGGAAGGTCCTGTGCTGCAATTGGAGGAAACTGGTTTCCTGTGGGAAGTAGAGGAGGAAAAAGAACTAGTGAGTAATCCGTCTTTGAAAAACCAAGTACCAGATCTCATTAGGTTCAGTGTACTCACAGTCACCTAAATTAATTAAATTCAAATCTATTAGCTTTGTTTCAGATCCATTCCATAAGCTTGTCTCTCTCCTGTAAATCTCTAGAGGAAAAAAGTGTTCTGAATTCCTGTATCTTAATATGTTATAATCCCCCCAAAACAGTAATATTATGTAACCGGATGGTCTCTGCAGGCCAATACTTTATGATCTACATTCTCCAGGGGAAAGATCAGGGAACTATTATCAATAAATGCCATAAATCCCTGAGAGAGAAGTTAGGAATTTCAAATAAATCCACATAAAGTTTCTTTCCATTTATATTAACTCTTCAAGAATTTTAAAGCTTATTGACTCTTAACCTGCATATTTCTATTCCTACCAAGTAAAACATAAAATAATTTTTTTCCCAAGAAAATCAAATGCTAAAATTTGTTTCTCTGGGAACTCAGCAAATACAGAGAAACCTTGTAGACATTCAACTGAATGCTTTAGGTTTTTCTAGTACATTTGAGAGTCCAAAATTAGGTAAAACAATCTAATAGAGGGATGCCTGGGTGGCTCAGTCAGTTAAGCACCCAACTCTTGATTTCGGCTCAGGTCATGATCTTGAAGTCTTGAAACTGAGCCCCGTGTTGGGTTCTATGCTCAGTGCAGAGTTTGCTTGTCTCTCTCCTCCTACCCTTCCCCCAGCTTGTGCGTGCCCTCCCTCTCTCAAATAAATAAATAAAATCCTTAAAAAAAAAAAGCCAGTAGAATGATCATAAACAAATACTAGATACCTACAAAAAATTGGAAGGTTAAGGCAAAAGTTAAGTGAATTAGAAATCATATATTCACGGTCATGAATAATAGATTATTCAGTAATTTCCCAAGTGTTCAATATTTTTAGAAATGTCATTAGAACTACAGCAGAGTTATCTCAGCATTTTACTGGAACTCTAACAAGTGAAAACAACCAATCTAATGAAAATTTTTGTGGAATATACCCAATGGAAATAGCATCGATATAGTTTGTCATTTTTTAAAAAAAACATTTTGATAAAATTTTTATTATACACAAATTCATCATAGAATTACCAGATAAGTTGTTTTAATAACATTATAGGAATCACAGTAATTATAAAATCACAGATATTTTTCCTTAATAAAGTTTAAAAGTAAAGCACCAATTTCAGTTCCATGGTGGATCAATTTTACTCAATAAACAAAACAATATTATTAAAGTATATTTTAAATAGCACACTGATATTGAAACATATATAAAATTTTAGAGAGAGCCAATATAAGCATTTGACTAGTTGATGAGTAAATGTATCCATGTTTCTTTTTTCAGAATAAATTTGATCCTACGAAGGTTAAAAATTTTGCACATAAAATATTCTCTTATAATATTTTGTATTTAATATTTCGTACACACGTTGGTATTTCATGCACTTTAATTTTGTATAAAGATTGAGAATGCTTTCTGTTTTGTTTCCTGTATCTTTCTAGATGATGTCCAGTATCCTGCAGACATTTCTGGCTGTCTGAAGGGTACGCTGAGTACTTAGCTTTAGGAAACAGTCTATAAATGAGCTTCAGTTCCCAGACCTATTACTGGCTCAGAACTCATTATTCCACAAGTACAATTTAATTATATTTTACTTAACATTTGTACAAAGTTAGATGCCATTTTCTCTGTTTCTAGAGAATATATAATAGATACAAAGACACAGAGTTGCCAACACATCTTTTTTTTATTCTAAAAAATTTTAAGTACAAAAATTCACTAGTATACCTGGAAACTGAAACCAAGCATTGATTGTGTCCTAATAAGGCAGAGAAACCTAAACTTAACTGGGGTATAAATATAAAATAAAATGGTTTTGTGCTACAGCAGGTACCTAGATGTTGAGTCTGACACTGATACTGACTTTAAGACGCATGGTATAGGTTACAGAAGTCTGTGATGACATCTCAGTACCGCAAATCTGTGACTTTCCTTAGGTCATTAAGCCTCGTCGGGTATCAATTTCCTCTTCTAAAACATGAAAAACTTAGGTCATCTCTAAGGCCCTCCCAATCCTAGGATTCTATGAAACATAGCCACAGTCCCGTTTTTCTTGTACTTTCAGTAACAAATGGCCAAGGTCCAAGATGGATTCAATTTTCAAAGATATCAAATGGGGAATCTGTGCACAACGTATTTTTGGTAGAGCAACTGGTAACTCCCTTCAGATCTAGCAAAGAACTGCCTTCTGTCCTTTCAAAGGTTGATTCCTAGCTAGAATCTTGGCCTAAAAGATCTGTGAAAGAAATATACAAATGAAATATTTCTCATATCCTAATAATTCTCCCCTCCACATGGAAAATTTAGAATTTCAAATCTTTCATTGTTTTTTTTACTGGCAAAAATTATTATGAATTCCATGGGTATATCAAACAACAATAACCTTTTAAGAAAATAATCACTACAGTAACTAAAAGGTTACTAGTAATGTTAGCTTAGAATACTCCTTTCACAGAGCTTATCTTCTTACTTCCCATTATCACTCTTTTCAGAAAGGACTGATCAATGACATGCTAGTACTGGTGATCTCTAAGGCTAATATAACATCTCCTTTAAAAAAAAAAAATTTGTTCATACCATGCTTAGAGACAAAAATGGTCAGTTTCCTATTAGTAGGACCACAGAATTCCCAGGGAAATGAAGCCTTGCAGACAAGGCTATAAAGACTGATACAGTGACTCATGTGATGAAACTGGGGGCAAAAGCAGAGGTTGCAACTCACAGGTTTACCATCTGTTGGTCTCTCCGCCCCTTTGTAAACTGGCAAGTCACTCTGAAAGCCACCAAGCAAAAACTGAATAACCATTAGGGTAATTTGAATTTGCCTTTATTAACTCTACTTCTTGAAATGGAAATTCCAACAGCCTCATGAGAGTTCTACCATGTCTTTAATAGGTCTATCTGAAACCAAAGAAGAGAACAGTGATACGCATGTAGGAAATGCTTCACGAATATGACCCAAAAGATACCTAAGGCTCTGCTGAGTCCAATCAAAAGCTTCTATGTTATATCAAAAAAACATATACATATATAATTGTGGCTGCTATTAATTTTCTTGGTAATCTACCAAAATATGCAAAATTTAAATGGGATTCATAGAATAATTAAGGAAATAATTAAGAATCAGAATTCAGAAAAATATGAAATCAAGTGTGTGTTCATCAATATCCACTAAAATAATAGTCAAAAAGTCACAGATCAGGGGCGCCTGGGTGGTTCAGTGGGTTAAAGCCTCTGCCTTCAACTCAGGTTATGATCCCGGGGTCCTGGGATCAAGCCCCACATTGGGCTCTCTGGGCAGCGGGGAACCTGCTTCCCCTTCTCTCTCTCTCTGCCTGCCTCTCTGCCTACTTGTGATCTCTGTCTGTCAAATAAATAAATAAAATCTTTAAAAAAAAAAAAAGTCACAGATCAAAAGTATGTGGATTATATTATCCATAGAGTTATTATCTTTCCCATTCACTTACAACTGCTTCGTTTACTTTGGAGTACAAATCAGAATTTGAACTACCTAAGTACATGTCTGAAGACTGCTTTTTTAGATAAATTTTTAATATAGGAGCGCTATCCCTAGCTCATAAAATTAGGTGTAAAGAAAATCTCTTTAAGATTTCAGATTCTTTGGACTAATTTTTTAGACCATAAGATACGACATTTTTATAACATATTAAAATTCTTTCTAATGGAATTAAAAAATGTTTTATCTAAAAATTTCAGAGTTACTGATTTGTGGAAACCCTTGTAAGACTCCTTCCTATTTATAAGGATGAAAGCATATCAATATATTGAATAAGACTGATGATTCACAGACCTGTACCCCTGAAACAAATAATACATTACATGTTAATAAAAAGAAAAAAGAATCAGTCATTTAAAAATAAGGCTCAATATGAGAAATTTCACGCTACAAAAAAGACTATTATTTCATATAATATTTTTATGGGCACCCTTTATGCTTTTATATTTTGGTAAATGCTATTTTTCTAATAATATATAATTAGATTTCACAGAAAGATTTTATTTCTTACTTTTAAATAGAGATGGTATTTCTTAGGATTGTTTTTTATTTTTTTATTTTTTAAATAATCTCTACACCCAGCGTGGGGCTCAAATAAGATCAAGCATCTCATGCTCTAGGCACTGAGCCAGCCAGGTATTCCAAATGTTACAGAAGGATTTTAAATCAAATTTGATCTCCTATATAGAGTAACTTCTCAGCTACTCTGTGTCTGCCTATATTGTTTTTGTTTGTTGCCTTGATTTGGTTTGTTTTCGTGGTTTAAAACAAAGCGAATTTATTGTCTCAGAGCCCTGGAAGTCATAAGTCCAAAAAGCATCTCCCTGGGCTAAAATCAAGATGTCAGCAGAGCTGTGTTCCTTCTAGAGGCTCTAAACAAGAATTATTTCCTTGTCTTTCCAGCACCCAAAGTCTGAGCTGTTTCACTGGCTATTGTCCCCCCTTCTACCTTCAAAGCCAGCAATGGCTAGTTGAGTCTTTCTCAGGATGCCCTCTCTGGTTCTTTTGTCTCCTTCTTAAGGGTTCTTGTGTTTACTTTGGGCCCACCTGGATAATCTCCTTATTTTAAGGTCAGCTGCTTGGCACCCTTATTCCACCTGCAAACTTAATTCCCGCTTGCCAGGTAACAATTTATTTGCAGGCTCCAAAATAGGAATGTGGACTTCTCTGGGGGCAAAAAAATTAAATTCAAGGGGAAAAAAAAACACCTTTTATAAAGTCCATGATATACAAATACTTTGAGAAAAGTATTCAGCCTATTACCAAAGGCAAATGAGATACAAGCTTAAAATGGAAATACTTTTTACTTCAGTTAAAAATAAAATTGCAAATATATCACAATTTTCACAGATACCCTAAATAATA